ACTAAACTAGCACAAGTCCAAAAAGAAAAACCACCATTTGGAATGGCCCCACACGTCAATTCCACTAAAGTAAGCTAATCCAGCCCCGTGTTCACGAGAGAATCAGTATATGTCTAGCTCATTGTATACGATGAGAAGATTAGATGTACATAATTTTACCACCGCAAGTGAAAAAATTATTTTTCGTTAACTTAAACAAGTCCCATTTAAATCTCATATCCAACTAAACAACTTTATTGATGCCTCAATGTAACCATCTTTTAAAACTAAATGGAATGGCCAACCAAAAAAGTAGCTTAAGGAACTTTATATAAAGCACAAGTTACTTAGTGCATACCCGTAGGGTAGAAGAACTATCAGCCATTTGTACCATATCGAGAGATTGATAATTCAATTTGTGAAAAGATCAAATGGAAGCCATTTGTATGGTTTTTCTAGTGATATTGCTGATGGGTTTGTCAGCAAAAGCACAAGGAGGATTGAAGACAGATTTTTATTCTTCTTCATGCCCAAAAGCTGAGGCCACAGTCAGGTCAACTGNCGGTTGGTAGGGCTCTGGAACATCTTTTTGGTTCACCATGACACATAAAGCTGGCCTGACCCGACCCATTTAGGAGACTTGTAGGTTCAACCATGAGGTCCGCTAGAGTTGATCCAATGGATAGGCAATGGCTCATCATTTCTTGAGGCAGCCTGACCAATCTGGACCGTTGTCCCAATCAATGTGATGTGCCTTAAATGTAACGGAAGTAATGTTTTACCAGAAATATTATGCACAAAAATTATATTTATATTTATTAATTGTAAGTGTTATCCCATTGTCATTGTATATTTTATTATATTTATTTATATTGCAATAATGACATTTCTGGTTAGACATAACACTTGCATGCAACTAATTTAGTCAAAGCTCATCCATGCAAGCTATTTTAACACAACAAACAAGAAAAGCAAATGTGAACACTACGAAAATCTTTCAAAAGAAAAAGAAACTATGAAAAGCCAGAGGTCCAACGCGCAAAGAGGGAATAAAAGGCTTCGGAATCAAGACAAGAGCAACTTCATTATCAGCCCATTACCCACCCAATGCCTTTATTCGCACTGAACTTCATCTCTCTCTCCACTAAACTAGCACAAGTCCAAAAAGAAAAACCACCATTTGGAATGGCCCCACACGTCAATTCCACTAAAGTAAGCTAATCCAGCCCCGTGTTCACGAGAGAATCAGTATATGTCTAGCTCATTGTATACGATGAGAAGATTAGATGTACATAATTTTACCACCGCAAGTGNACTTTTTTTGTGGAATCAACTAAATAATTGGGTTAAAATAAAATGCTTGTGTTTTTGAGAAATTTATCGAAATTTGGTGAGGGATATAATAGTTGTGCTTGTGCTATAGCTATTAAATTTATATGAGTTTGCTAAAGATAAAAATATATTTTGAACAAATACTCTTCATCTTCATTATTTTAACCCACAAAATAGATGAGTTTATTTAAGGTGCTCATGGTTATAAATACACTATTTATCCGGGCTTGAATTATTTATAGGTGATAATACCAACCCAAAATGTCTAACTAAATATGAGAATAAATGGGATAAGGTTGGCCTAAACACTATTTGTTCCAATCCTCTTTCCTAATGCCTAAAACTAACACACCGAGTATTGATTGAATGGTGTTGTCCCAACTAGGACACAAGCAAACGAACCGTGTCATAGGGTCGGTCCAAAATTACAATAATCCATGAGTCATGGACCACTCGAGCCTTCCATGTAAAGTAAAGGTGGTAAATGAGTGGGTTGGGGTGGGTTGGGTTAAAATAAATTTAATCTATTTTTCACTTTAATACATGATGGTAAGTCTTTCTAAATGGACTTATAATGATTTGAATTCGGTAAGAAAACTTATTTGGGGATAAATTCATTTTTAAACTTATATATAGGTATTTAACTCCACTTTTTTTTAATCTCAAAAATTCCTCTATCATTGTTAGTTTTGTTCAGTTATAAAAAACCAAAGAGGTTAGTTCATTGAGATATATAAGGACGGAAGATATGACGGCCTGATTTTACGCTAGTAATTGTCTGTCACAATCTTTTCATAAAATTTGAAATTCAAATTTTTATTCATTATTTGTATGTTACACATTGATCAAATTGAAAATCAAAGTCCACCACCATGATCGAAAAACTCAAAAAACTGTCCATGAAGCACCAACAAAAACTGAATCTGATTTGGAAAAAAAAAAGTACTTAGATGTATTCATCACTCACCAACATCTTACATGAGGCTTTTGAATCAAATTCTCTGTCAAAAAACAATGCTTCAGACCTCATACTTTCTTCCTCAAAGGATTCTCGATGAATTTCTTCAGCCAGAATTTCCCCTAAGCAGCTTATAACAATGACATCATGGAAAGTAAAATTTCTAACCTTCAATGAATTACATTAGATTCATCATTGAATTGGATTTGATTATCAACTTCACCATCAACACATGAAACATAGTATTTCCCTACACCAACAAGGTGTTCGACGAAATGCCCTGAAGCATGTTATTATTTTTTCAATTCTTGAAATACCATGTTACTATTTTTTTTTTGCCCATGCTACTATTTTATTTCGTGCATGTTACTATTTTTGTGGATGATCGATGAGGTATCGATTTAGATCTCGATTTAGTTGGTTGTGTATTTTTGTGAAGAAGATGACATTGTACCGTACAATTTTTTTTTCATGCTACTATTTCTGTTTTGTTGGGCTTATTCATTTTACTATCTTTTTTTATGTTACTATTTTTTTTGATAAACATGTTACTGTTAATATTGAATGTTACAATTTTTTCGAAAATATCAATATTCAATATTACTATTTTTTGTTGAGTATAATACTATTATTTTTTTTTTCAAACATTAATATACAACGTAACTATTTTTTATTTTTTGAATGTTACTATGTTTTTGTGTGTAAATGGTACTATTTTCTGTGTTTAAATTATACTATTTTTTGTGTTTGAATGTTAATATTTTTTGTTTTTAATGCTAATATTAAATATTACTATTTTTCTAAAATATCAATATTAAATGTTACTATTTTTTCACTGAGTATGTTACTATATTTTTTTCAAATATTAATATACAATATTACTTTTTTAATAATACTATGAGTTTTTAATTTTAAATTTTGCTTCACTTTTAAAGGAAATAGATAGTCTGATAAAATTGACAAACAAATGACTTTATAACAAATAAGTTTTTTTTGCGGACTTAAATCCAAACAAGTTCGTATAGGGAGACTGACCTCCAAATTTTCTTTATTAAATGAGTTATAATGTGTTGGGTTTATAATGAGTTAAGTTAAATCCATTAACCCATAAAATAATTAAAATTCTTAATAGACATACATTAGTACATCAAAACACACATATATTAGTAGTACACCAAAATACAAATATACACACACTAAAACACACACAAACTAATACACTAAAAATACACACACTAATACACAAAAAATAAACGCACATATACTAACACAAAAACCAAAACATATTTAACAAAAAAAATACACAGGCATAATGGGTTGGGTAGATTGTGGGCCATGGGTCAATCTACGAGTCGTGGTTCGTGGGCTGACCCATGGGTCAACCCATAGGTCATGAACTGGGTCACAAGTTGTGGGTCGATCGCAGGATCATGGGTCAACTCGTGGGTCATGAGTGGTGTATTAGTGTGTGTGTTTATATGTTTTGGTATATTAGTGTATATGTGTGTATTTTTTGATATATTAATGTGTATATATTTTTTGACATATTAGTATATTTATTTAATTTTATTACTTGTATTATGTAATAGAAAGATAAATATTTTATCCAATGAGAACATATTTATAATATATATTAACCTGCTTAATTAAAATAAATCATATTATTCAACTCATTTAAACCCCACATATGAGTTGGACAGATTAATGGATAATTGATTAAAATTGTCACCTCTAATGTAAAGGCTCATGGTAAGCCCGTTAGCCGGTGGTAGGGCTCTGGAACATCTTTTTGGTTCACCATGACACATAAAGCTGGCCTGACCCGACCCATTTAGGAGACTCGTAGGTTCAACCATGAGGTCCGCTAGAGTTGATCCAATGGATAGGCAATGGCTCATCATTTCTTGAGGCAGCCTGACCAATCTGGACCGTTGTCCCAATCAATGTGATGTGCCTTAAATGTAACGGAAGTAATGTTTTACCAGAAATATTATGCACAAAAATTATATTTATATTTATTAATTGTAAGTGTTATCCCATTGTCATTGTATATTTTATTATATTTATTTATATTGCAATAATGACATTTCTGGTTAGACATAACACTTGCATGCAACTAATTTAGTCAAAGCTCATCCATGCAAGCTATTTTAACACAACAAACAAGAAAAGCAAATGTGAACACTACGAAAATCTTTCAAAAGAAAAAGAAACTATGAAAAGCCAGAGGTCCAACGCGCAAAGAGGGAATAAAAGGCTTCGGAATCAAGACAAGAGCAACTTCATTATCAGCCCATTACCCACCCAATGCCTTTATTCGCACTGAACTTCATCTCTCTCTCCACTAAACTAGCACAAGTCCAAAAAGAAAAACCACCATTTGGAATGGCCCCACACGTCAATTCCACTAAAGTAAGCTAATCCAGCCCCGTGTTCACGAGAGAATCAGTATATGTCTAGCTCATTGTATACGATGAGAAGATTAGATGTACATAATTTTACCACCGCAAGTGAAAAAATTATTTTTCGTTAACTTAAACAAGTCCCATTTAAATCTCATATCCAACTAAACAACTTTATTGATGCCTCAATGTAACCATCTTTTAAAACTAAATGGAATGGCCAACCAAAAAAGTAGCTTAAGGAACTTTATATAAAGCACAAGTTACTTGNACTAAACAACTTTATTGATGCCTCAATGTAACCATCTTTTAAAACTAAATGGAATGGACAACCAAAAAAGTAGCTTAAGGAACTTTATATAAAGCACAAGTTACTTAGTGCATACCCGTAGGGTAGAAGAACTATCAGCCATTTGTACCATATCGAGAGATTGATAATTCAATTTGTGAAAAGATCAAATGGAAGCCATTTGTATGGTTTTTCTAGTGATATTGCTGATGGGTTTGTCAGCAAAAGCACAAGGAGGATTGAAGACAGATTTTTATTCTTCTTCATGCCCAAAAGCTGAGGCCACAGTCAGGTCAACTGTTGAAGCACACTTCAAAAAGGATCCTACTATTGCAGCTGGCTTGCTCAGGCTTCATTTCCATGATTGCTTTGTTCAGGTTTCCATATTCTCTTTCTTTATCATTCCACACCACCACGATAGTTTTCCTAACATCGTCATATAACCTCAATTTTTTGTTATGTTTAGTTTCTTCTTCTATCTAATATTCTATATGTATCACCCAATACCCTTGTCAAGACTGTTATGTCGTAGTGTTATCTGAATCAACATACCACAACCTTTAAACCATTAGTTCTATATAGCCGATCAAGTATACATTTGTACAGGGTTGTGATGGATCCATTTTGATAGTTGGGGCTTCTGCTGAGACAAATGCATTGACAAACCAAGGGTTACGAGGGTTTGAAGTTATTGATGATGCAAAAACACAGCTAGAGGCCTTCTGCCCCGGGGTTGTCTCTTGTGCTGATATACTTGCATTGGCTGCTCGTGATGCCGTTGCTTTGGTAATCTCTCTCTCAATCTCTCTCTCTCTCTCTCTCACACACACACACTCACACACAGAGTCAGATCTTTACATAAATGGTTGGTTTCTATAGAAGGAGGTGTTTAATTGTTATTGTATTTGTCACAGAGTGATGGTCCAAGTTGGGGAGTACCAACTGGAAGAAGAGATGGTAGAATATCTTCATCGTCTCAAGCCTTAAATTTACCGACTCCTTTAGATTCTGTTGCCGTCCAGAGGCAGAAGTTCATGGCTAAAGGGTTAGATGATCATGATCTTGTTACACTAGTCGGTACGCTCCACTAAATCTCTCCTATGTAAACATTATATACAAAATTTCTCATAGGATTGAAATGATTTTCTTTTAAATTTCAAGTTTTCATAAACACTTAGAGGTGGCAATTTTAAATTCGAACTTGATGTGAAATTGATGGAATATGATTGATTTCAATAGGAACCTTAAATTAATGTGACTTGTAACGCCTTTAATAAATGAGTTATGATAGTGTCCAATATGAATACCGCTAATTTAATGCCACAAACATGTGGAACTGCTTTAAATAATGAAATAAAAAAATTAAATTTTTTTTTATTTTTTTATTAAGCAAATTGTTAAAAAATTAAAAGATTTTTTACTTAATTTTGCCACTATATGAATCAAGCCTATTTAGTATTTAGTTTATAGGAGACCAATGTGTGGATGATTCTTAGTCCAGCATTTCTGGTTTTCTAGGTATGGTGTAGTCCTGAACACAAAACTATTAATGAATATGATGAGATTAGTGTAACGACATCTAACTTGATAAATGTGGTAGTGACATGGTCCATGTCATATCAGTTGATATTTATTTTCGGTTCTTATTTTTCGTCAGTCTAACATTATTTTTTTTATGGGGCTTGTGTGCAGGGGGGCATACCATAGGCCAAACAGACTGTTTATTCTTCAGATACCGTCTATACAACTTCACAACAACTGGGAATGCAGACCCAAGCATAAACCAAGCATTCTTGTCACAGCTACAATCTCTTTGCCCCCAAAATGGGGATGGCTCAAAAAGAGTCTCTTTGGACAAAGACAGTCAGTTCAAATTCGATGTGAGCTTCTTCAAGAACGTGAGGGATGGGAATGGGATTCTGGAGTCAGATCAGAGGCTTTGGGGCGATTCAGCGACTCGGAAAATCGTCCAGAATTATGCAGGAAATGTAAGAGGACTGCTGGGCTTTAGATTTGATTTTGAGTTTCAGAAAGCTATGATCAAGATGAGTAGCATTGAGGTCAAGACTGGTGCACAAGGGGAGATTAGAAAGATTTGTACAAAGTTCAATTAGCTACTTAACTTGTGTAAAACACAAGGTTTACTCTCAATAAAATAAAGTAACTTACAGAGAAGCCTTCTATAAGATTCCTTATTTGTGACACTATGAATTAAGTACTTGTAAGCAACCATTATGAAGTACGGATAATGGTCGGGCCCTATCTCACGAGTCGAAGTCTATTCAATTCAACTTGTCAAGTAATGAGTTATTTGTATTCAGACATAATCAATCATTACGTTATTTGATTGATGTCAATCAATTAATGAAACGAGTCTGATTAATCAGGAGTATAATTATCGAGGATAATGCAGGAAATGTATGAGGCTTGCTGCGGTTTAGATTTGATTTTGTGTGTGAGATTAGTTTGGATGATGCAGTGTATGACTTGCAATGTATCGTGACATGTCTGAAACGTGCCTAAAAATTAAGAATAATGGCAATGATACTTAATTTGTGATTTAATTAGTAGAGACCTAAGGATTTGTAATCATTAGATGAATAGTAAAGTTTATTAAATATTAGAACTCATTATTAGATTAAATATCATAATTCATTAGTGTGACAGTGATTTCTTGCACAATAGTGAGATAGCAACACTTTGATTGGCACTCGAAGGTGGCTTTCTGGTTTGAGGGATAACGAAAAACCTAACAATCACAAAGAAAGATTAGAAGGGAAACTGGAGGTGTGTCCGGTGATTCTCCTCTGATGCTAAAGCCAATTTCTGAGAAGTGAATAAGACATTATTCTAAGTGTTGGGTTCTGAGAGCATACCTATTTTTCTCATCTAAGACTACTATTTATAATTTCCTAATAGGTGAGAGTGTTTATCAAGAATATTCATACGATTTTGTTTAGCGGGAGAGCCCTTGATTGGCTCACCCTTGAGATAGTAGGGATGGGCATCGAATATAGGGTGCTCCTTTAACCTCAATCCTCGATCTTTTGCATGCATGTCCATCTGATGCACATTAACTACATTAATCCCTTGGCCTCTGGACCTTCGTCGATCATTAACATTCATGCCGCGCATTCATTGTGAGATCTGACGTTGATAACGTGCTTCACAGGAATAAAGGTTCAGGGTTAAGCCACACACCAAGAGATTAATGTTCTCTCTCCCTCCCCCCAGCCTTTAGTGTTTCCTAGTCATTTGTCATACATTTGTGAGGAGCATTTATTGCATTTTCAATGGCCCCTCCTATGATTAGTTACGGTGTACTATTTTGCTGAGTTTGAATACTTGGGATGATGGACCGATAATCAGGCATAATTCTTCAAGAGACATTCATTCGTTTATTTTTAGGTGGGTGGTCCCACCAACACAGAGACGACAACTATCCTCTATTACGTCGATTGACGTGGCCGACGTGTAAGGCTAATCGTCTTTAGGCCCCTTGGCCAGGTCTGTGTTAGTGTTTCGAACTTTTCAGCATTAACATTCTTCAATCTGAATCACGAAGACCCTTGCTCGGCGTGATAGATAACTCCAAGGAGGTCCCAATGCCTATTTGCCTCCCTTACGACATCTAGGAGAGTCCTTCCCCCGATGCCATCCTCCGAGACCGAGCAAGCCATACATTGCACCATGCCTACCCATCATTACTTCAAATAATACCACATGTCTGCTTATGGTTGATCGGACATGCCATGTTCCGACAATTAAATCTTTCAGTAAGTCTTAATAACATTGTTTGAAAGTCAATAATCATTTAGTTGAGGATTTATCTTAATCGATTTTACAAAAACACAATAATTCAGNTGTCTGCTTATGGTTGATCGGACATGCCATGTTCCGACAATTAAATCTTTCAGTAAGTCTTAATAATATTGTTTGAAAGTCAATAATCATTTAGTTGAGGATTTATCTTAATCAATTTTTCAAAAACACAATAATTCAATGGGTACAATTAAATCTATCCAAAATTTATTTCAAAAAGTACATATCTAATGTCAAAAAGAAAAAAATTGATGGGTGGGCACTAGCTTAGGGGTGGCTCTGCCCCTGAAGATGGATCCGCATGTGCGTGGGGGAGAGAGGAGAATTGTCCGTGAGTGGGAAGAAAGGTGGAGTTGCCGATGATGAAAAAGGGAAAAAGAGATAAGTTGTTTTTATGTTTTCATGAAGTGTGCAAGTAAGAGGATTAGCATGTTAGCCTGATGGTCAATGCAACCTATTGTTAAACTATTAAATCGTGGGTTTGAATCTCACTGCTCTTCCACTTGTAAACGTCNGGAAAAAGAGATAAGTTGTTTTTATGTTTTCATGAAGTGTGCAAGTAAGAGGATTAGAATGTTAGCCTGATGGTCAATGCAACCTATTGTTAAACTATTAAATCGTGGGTTTGAACCTCACTGCTCTTTCACTTGTAAACGTTNGAGGATTAGCATGTTAGCCTGATGGTCAATGCAACCTATTGTTAAACTATTAAATCGTGGGTTTGAATCTCACTGCTCTTCCACTTGTAAACGTCTAAAATAGGGACCAAAATAAATAAATAAATGTGCAAGGATATACTTATCTTTTTGAGTCAAAATTTTTGACTTTGACTAAGAATTGTGGCACACCTACTCGTGAAATAGAGGTGTGTGCTATATTTGTTGTCACCTTCGATGGAATTATTAATCGTTTGACCCAAAATTATAAGAGGGATTATGTGCTGATTTTTAAATCATAGGGAGGTGAAACGTAAAACACCCAAGCAAGAAGGAAATAAACTGAAAAAATCACCCCATTCTTGATTGCACTGTAGCATAGCAGCATATTCGGCAGGATAATTTTTTTGGATCTAAAAATTTAACTTAATATTTAATTTAGTAATATATCGAGTGATATAATCTAAATAAAAAAATATAACAGTTGTAATTACAATAATACAATTTAATTGTGTCAATGCAAATTTAATCGAGTGATTATTATAATTACAATAATACCTTTTTTGACTTATAGAGTTATAAGTCACAAATGAATTTAAATTTTTAAGTTGTAATGCCACCATCCTATTTTGCATAGTTGCACAATCCCTAAAAATAACTAGTCCTGTCTCGTCCATGATAAGTTTTTTTGAATATATAGGTTGAGTTATTATGATTAAAAATGTGAGACCCGATTATGCATTACATTCATATTCGCATAATTTTGTGGGCTCAATTACAATAATGTGAAACTATTAAAGAGTTAATTTAAGTAAACCTTTATAGCTATGATGTGTGTGAGCATACATTGAATATGTGGATCCCGTTAGTGAAGTATTAGTGAGACATATTTATAGAATTTGATGTGTGAAAAAAATAGTGGATCGATTTTAAAATCACTTAAAAACTTAGAGGAAGGCAAGTGTAATTATCCCACTAACATGCGTTAGCCTTATAAGTGTCAACATATAAAATGGGTGAATCATGATTTTTTAACCAAGTGGCTGTGTGTGTGTGTGTGTGTGTTTTAAGGTGTAGAGTGTGTGTGTAATGTAAAGTGTAAAAGTGTGTGTGTATGTTTATAGCATAAAATCAATGTGTGTGTTCTTCTCGACTGAAAACCGAGAGTGAGGGAGAGTAAACAAAAAGAGGGAAATAAAACATGTGTGTGTTCCTTTAAGTCGAGAATAAGGAGGCAGAGAGGGAGAGAGAAATAAGCTTGGTGGGTGCTCGTAGTCCAAGCCGAGAGGGAGAAGAAAGAAGGGAAAAGGAGGAACAACCACCATGCCAAATCAAAAGTGATAGAAAAGAAGAAGAAGGTGAAGGTAAGAGTGTGTGTATGTGTGATTAAAACAGATTTTTGTGAGTCTAATTGAGTGTGTTGAACATAATTTAGAGGCTGTTAAGAATGGATTTTAAATGGGTATTCAATCAGGTGCGAAAAAAGTGTGAAAAATAACTATTTGAGATGTTCGAGATGTTATTCGTGGGCTAGATTGAAACCAAAATTATGGGAATGAAATGTGGGGTTAAAGGGTTCAATTAAGGACTGTTTTGTATGATTAAATGTGTGTGTGAGTTTGTGTCACTATTTTAAACGAAAAGTGCGATAGAGATTAGAAATAGGTACCGGTAATGTCAAAACACTGATTTATAAATGTTATTATCACATGTATGAATTTTAATTCAAATGATCTAAAATTTTACATGTTGCATTTTAAAAAGATATTTGATGTGATAATGTGAATTTCAAATGCAATTAAATGTAATATCCGATGTGAAATGTATAAAATGGCAGAAGAGCAGTTTTTAGGATTTGAAGTTGAAATGTATGAAAATGAGCCCCTAATCAATGTGTTTGACCTACTTAATCCTAATTATGATTAATATGAGTAATTTTGGAGATTTAGGAAGAAAATGTGATCTCTAAATCTAATGTGTCAGTATGTGAGAGGACAGTGTGGTAACCGGGGTTACTGGGGCACTTTGGGTTAATCATCTTGCATTATTAACTATTGGATGTAATAAACATACTGATACTTTAATTACAAATGTGTTAGATGGAACAGGTAGGACAGTTGGTGTTGAGACAGATACGGAAACACCGAAGGGATCCATCGATAGGTCTGAAGGCCCGTAGATCTATACACTTGAGGTGGGTATAGATCTTTATATGTTTTGAAAATGCTATTATTAAGACGGTAGTAAATGATAGAATTTAATAGCAATTCTTCAAAATTATATGCTACTTGTTTATGTGATTAAATGATGTTTTGTACTGTGTATTGTGAAATGTGTCGATGTCTGATCACTNATATTGAACTAACATCTATTTTGAACTAAGTTTATTATAGGCTATTATGAGATTAGATTGTGGTTTAGCTCGGGCCCAATTAATACCATCTAGATGAGACGTTTGGGTTACCCCGCATGAGCTCCAAGAGGTTTTTGAGTTTTGGTGTGATTCTAGACTTAAATTTGGAATATTTAAATGAAACCAAATGTTGAATATGAGAAAACAAAAGGATAATTTATTAGATACAAAGACCAACTATAAATTAAGACATTTTAAATTCAAAATATAACGTATATTTTTAAGGGTGAATTTTTTAATCCTGTAATTCCAGTATGGATGGTCTTATTGACTCTTGAGTGCACTCTGATGGTCTTATTGACTCTTGAGTGCACTCTTCAGACAACCTTTCGTTTGCTCCGCTCTTTCTCTCTCCAAGTCCAAATTTATGGTAATAGACAGTCCCAGGTCAGCATTTACATAGTCCACAAAGCAACTCAAAACAAAAGCCACAATACACGACGTCGTATGAACAGCTTCCATTGCCAAACGCCGCCGTACAGCTTCGCCCACCGTGACGGAACCTATTTTTGTTTCGTAGTTGCAATAAACAAATCAAGAAAACCCTATCCATCAATGGCAGGAGCTTTTGCCGGGACATAGACATCAATACCCCCATACATTCCACCAAAACGAAAGCTTTTTTTTTTATACTGGTCTTGGAACAATACATATAGATTTCAGATTTCTATATAGGTNCGGGACATAGACATCAATACCCCCATACATTCCACCAAAACGAAAGCTTTTTTTTTTTTTATACTGGTCTTGGAACAATACATATAGATTTCAGATTTCTATATAGGTTTTTTTTTTATCGAACAGATTTCTATATAGGTTCACAGATAGATTTACAATAATTTTGTATCAATAGCTGTTGCCTTGAGAGTACCGTGAGCAACCCGCTCAAGTTTTCTTTCTCATCTCTCAACGCTCTNCTGTTGCCTTGAGAGTACCGTGAGCAACCCGCTCAAGTTTTCTTTCTCATCTCTCAAAGCTCTTCTTTTGTTTGGAAGAAGAAGCTTAATCTCTCTCTCTCTCTCTCTCTCTCTCTCTCTTTCTCTCTCTCTCCAAAAGATAGAAACCCTCTTAAACACTCTTACTGGTCATGGCTTCAATCACTTCTATTTCTCAATACCAACCCCTTCTCAAGAAACCACGGTTCAGTCCACCTAAAAGGCTTCAAACCCATTTTTTCTCCATACCCATTTCGCCAAACCCTCGTGTGGATTCAGGGTTTTCTGTGAAAACTAAGTCTTGTTCTATGACTAATAAGAAGATGGTGGTGGTTTCGGCTACAACGGCGGCTGAGAAGCCGAAGAAAAGGTATCCTGGGGAGGCTAAGGGGTTTGTGGAGGAGATGAGGTTTGTGGCAATGAAATTGCATACTAGGGATCAAGCTAAGGAGGGTGAGAAGGAGCCACAAGGACAGCCAGTGGCAAAATGGAAGCCATCAATTGATGGGTATTTGAGGTTCTTGGTGGATAGTAAGTTGGTGTATGATACCCTTGAGAGGATTGTGGAAAAACCAGCTTTTCCTGAATGTGAGTTCATATATTTTGGGAATCTTTTTATACGTCAGTGCTAATTTGTTCTTGTTTGATTAAAAATTTTACTGCTGATCTCAATTTATTTTAATGTAAAGTGGGATAGCTTATGCTTCATAATTGGGATAACTCGTTGATTATTTTTTATGATTTTTATTTGTTTGATACATATTGGTTGCTGAATTGATAGTGTGTTGCTGTTGTGTGGCACAAGAAATAAGTTGTTCCACTCCATTGTACTATTCTAGTTCTTTGCGTTCAATTTTGTGTTACATGAATGGAAAACCATGAAATTTTCTCTGTTTTAGTTTTTTTATTCCATCAACTAGATAAGGTTTATCTTTTTTGTATATCTAGAGGTGTGGGGTTTGGCTGTGCCTTAACAGACTGTGAAGTACCCATTTTATGTTTTTAAGGTTTTATATGGTGGGTTTATGTTTACTTGGTTATGTGCTCATTGCCACTTGTAAGGTCTGGTTAAGCCAGGGAAATTTAAGTGCTCTAATTAGTTTCTTTCGCTTGACACTAAAGCTTTCTCTGTTAGAAATGTTTCATGTGTGTTTATTGAGCCTTGTTTCAACTCATGGATCCTATATTGCAAAGCATAGCCATGCATTATTTTCCAAACTTTTACGTGTAACACCTGAAAATCTTGATTCTCGGTGGACTAATTGTAGTACTTTTCCCCAATTAAATCTGTCATAGTGCTGAGCATTTGCAACCCATCGTATTAACGATTACTATATTTCTGGAAGTTTTTTTTTTCTGATAAGTATATGCCTGGAAGTTTGGTCTCTACATACTTGATCTCGTGAATGAACTAAAAGCTTGGTTCTTCATGTTTTTTTGGGTCAGATGCCGAGTTCAGGGACACAGGATTGGAAAGATCAGAAAGTCTGGCCAAGGATCTTGAATGGTTTAAAGAGCAAGGTCATGCCATTCCAGAACCATCTTCTCCTGGTGTTAGCTATGCTCGCTACCTTGAGGAGTTATCAGAAAAGGATCCTCAAGCATTCCTGTGCCATTTTTACAATATATACTTTGCCCATACAGCTGGTGGTCGAATGATAGGGAGAAAGGTANCTGTTGCACATATGAAATTATTTAATATTTTATTAATTCAAATTATATATATGTAAGCAGGTGTATTAAAAATCTAGTTGTGTCTCATCTTTGGAAGACTAAGATGAGGTGTGACAAATTAGTTGGTATTAGAGTAAAAGTTTATACTTTTGTATTATACGTAACATTGTTTGTTATTTATAAATCTCGTTATTAGGGTTTTGTGGTGGTTTCTTTCCTAGCTTATTTTGTAGTCTCCTCTTTGGTTGTCTAGTTGCTGGGCCTGCCATCCCTGACGTTTCTTACGGCCATTACACTTTGAACAGAATACATGAGCTATCTCTACTACCAACGAATATTCGTTTGTTAGGGTTGTTAGGCATTGTTCTCTTATCTCCTTTTCACGTGTCGTGGTATAGTCATTGGTGAATTGTCTGGTGCCAAGTTTCCCACTCCCGAGCAGATATTTGTACCGAACTTATTANGTGTGGCACAAGAAATAAGTTGTTCCACTCCATTGTACTATTCTAGTTCTTTGCGTTCAATTTTGTGTTACATGAATGGAAAACCATGAAATTTTCTCTGTTTTAGTTTTTTTATTCCATCAACTAGATAAGGTTTATCTTTTTTGTATATCTAGAGGTGTGGGGTTTGGCTGTGCCTTAACAGACTGTGAAGTACCCATTTTATGTTTTTAAGGTTTTATATGGTGGGTTTATGTTTACTTGGTTATGTGCTCATTGCCACTTGTAAGGTCTGGTTAAGCCAGGGAAATTTAAGTGCTCTAATTAGTTTCTTTCGCTTGACACTAAAGCTTTCTCTGTTAGAAATGTTTCATGTGTGTTTATTGAGCCTTGTTTCAACTCATGGATCCTATATTGCAAAGCATAGCCATGCATTATTTTCCAAACTTTTACGTGTAACACCTGAAAATCTTGATTCTCGGTGGACTAATTGTAGTACTTTTCCCCAATTAAATCTGTCATAGTGCTGAGCATTTGCAACCCATCGTATTAACGATTACTATATTTCTGGAAGTTTTTTTTTTCTGATAAGTATATGCCTGGAAGTTTGGTCTCTACATACTTGATCTCGTGAATGAACTAAAAGCTTGGTTCTTCATGTTTTTTTGGGTCAGATGCCGAGTTCAGGGACACAGGATTGGAAAGATCAGAAAGTCTGGCCAAGGATCTTGAATGGTTTAAAGAGCAAGGTCATGCCATTCCAGAACCATCTTCTCCTGGTGTTAGCTATGCTCGCTACCTTGAGGAGTTATCAGAAAAGGATCCTCAAGCATTCCTGTGCCATTTTTACAATATATACTTTGCCCATACAGCTGGTGGTCGAATGATAGGGAGAAAGGTACACATTAGTTTTGAAAACATGTTTGAAAACCTTATGAAGTTTGAGACCTATTCACAGTTTACTTTACTTCATACCGACCAAATGCCTAACTATGGAATATGTTTTCTGATTTAGAGAATTCAATTTCTGGTTATAACTCTCNTACACATTAGTTTTGAAAACATGTTTGAAAACCTTATGAAGTTTGAGACCTATTCACTGTTTACTTTACTTCATTCCGACCAAATGCCTAACTATGGAATATGTTTTCTGATTTAGAGAATTCAATTTCTGGTTATAACTCTTCAAACACCGTGGCCATTGATGTGTGTCTTGGACCATTGTTATGAAGCTTTGCTTAACAATGCACATTCACTGCATCTTGCTTTTGTTAGAATTACAGAAGGGACACCCCACCCCAAAAAAAAAAAAAAAAAATTAATAAATAAAGAAACAAACACTGACAAAGAAACAGTAAAGGAAAAAAATGAGAAAGAAAGAAGTCCCATTCAATCCATTTGGACTGCATGATTTTCTATGATGTCCAGATAAGGTTATTACAAATTTTATATCGTAGTTCTAGATCATCTGTTTTTGGCTTGATTTGGGACTTGAGTTCTCCCAGAAGAGAACATGCAATGTTTAATTCTCTATAGAGACATGCGTTCATGAGTATTGCATGCTAGAAATAATTTACTTAGATCTCTGATATACTCAACTCAAAATGTCTTTTCATTCCCTTTAGGTAGCTGAAATGATACTCGACAAGAAGGAGATGGAATTCTACAAATGGGACGGTGACCTGTCTCAGTTATTGCAGAATGTTAGAGAAAAGTTGAATAGAGTTGCTGAAGTAATTCCTTAGTTACCCTTTTTTTATTTCCAGGAAATCTTCCATCAAGTATATTCCTATTTTGTTATTCTGTTGGATTTGTTTTTTAATAGGTGTGTCAGTTTTAATCTTCCAGCTATCTAACACATTTACATTTGGCATTTACTCAGACCTGGACGAGAGAGGAGAAGAACCATTGTTTGGAAGAAACAGAGAAATCATTCAAGTTCTCAGGGGATGTCCTCCGTCTGATATTGTCATAATGCACAAGTTTCTGCTGTTGTCTTTGTGAAGTCATGTAAGGCCACACGCTTTAACAACTTCCAGTATTCTTGACTCTTTTCTTGCATTTTATGATTTTGAATTTTGTGCATAATTGTACTTTATAGAGATTTAATATAATAAATATAGAAATTCAAGTTGAAACTTGGTGACCACGACAATGATGACAGTGACACAATCCAATTTTTGAATCTGGTGCCTGAGACCATACTAGATATACCTGACTCAATATACAATGGGTGAAGAGGTTTTCCAACCCTATAAACAAACATTGGGTGATTCTAATCATTTGAGGTGGGATATAAGAGAAAACATTTTTTGCTTGTTTTCCTTCCTAGGTAAGAGTACAGACCCAACCAGGAGATTGGTATTATTGTTGCAATGATGTTTATGCTGGGAACAGGATCCTGTGAGTGGTGCTATTTTTATCACTGGGATGGTGTGTTAGAATTTAGAGGGAAAAGGGTAAAGATATCATGTGGAAAAAAATCAGTTTCAGGAAATTGACGAAATTTAGCCTGCCCCTGGTTTTGGGGAGATAAATCTAGAGAATCGTTTTGGACGGGGATTACTGGGATAGAAAATCAGTACCCGTGTACTATTTTAGTCAGCAATTGGTTGGATGGTGTGATTTTCTGATTTTCGCCTGATCCTTTGTATTTGTTTATGCTTTCAGGTTTCCGTCGTTAGTTTGACCAACTTGAGCTTCTTAACTTTGTCAAAATTTTGCGTTGTGTGCTGACTAGGATATTACTATGTTCTGCGACATGATGATCCTTTGTATTTATTTGATTCAAAGTATTTCTTTGCAACATTGAGATGGATTTAGCTTGGAGAACCTTCTCCTGAAAATGGCTTTTCAGAATTATTGTGAGGTTCTTTCTCTGTGCGTGCGCCTGTGAGCTTTTCCTAAACCCAGCCTCTCCCAAATCTTTATTTTCAAATCCAGTTTGTTTTAAACTTATTTCTCAAATCTAGTTTTTTTTTTTTTTTGAAAACGTCATTCTAAATGACGTCTTTATAGGTTAAAACGTCATTTGAATGACGATTTCAAATTAATTTTTTTTTTAAATCGTCATTTGGGTTAACGACTTTAAAGTCGTCAATGAGACAGGCGTTAAAAAAAATTGGTGGGTTGAAAATTTCATTTGCAGTGACGTTTTCTATAATTTATACTTAGATCCCAACTTTTACAAAGTGTTTAAACTAAGTCCATTGATTTACCCATCCTCTCTGCTTCACACCTCCGTCGAAAATCAGTCCAGTCCGGTGCAGGCTTGTACCGCTGACGAAGACCACTCGGGCGCAGTAGTCTACTTCTAACGAGGATCAGAAATTTGATACCTGAAGAAGCATTGCCTGCATGTGACGTCCTGGCAGTTCCCCGGTGGCTCCGATCAAGCTTCCTGCAGTCAACCCATCGACTAGACCACACGCCACCAGGGCTAAAACAAGAACCACATAAGCTATACGTGGCCTCTCTTGAGGGTCATTCTTAGGAGAAATCCAATCTGTCACAGGCGTTACCATCAAAGCAACAATGAAGAGAGCCGGGCCGAAGTTCATCCTCAGTCAAAAACAGGTAATTGGTTCCAAGTAGACCAACAATTCAGAAGAACAAGCATCAGTAGTGTTGAACCCATGTAAGCCACAGAGAACACCTTGTCAATGTGTTTGTTTGGATAGAGAAATTCAAAGTACTCAACGGCTGTAATGAATGAATTCCATGAAATCAAATTCCCAGCTCCGAGCAAAAAGTGGTCACAAAATTTAATCATAAAGGCAATGCAACTGTAGAAAACAAAGAGAGTTATGGCTGAAAAATGCCGAGTGGGGACAAATAGCTTCCAAACGTCAATACTGAAACAAAATATTTAGCCCAGGTTGTAAAATTTGGCTATGAAGTTGTTACAAGGCATTATTTCCCGACCTCCCACGGTTGCAACTGATTATTATCACCATTTTCCCCCGAAAAACGAAAAAGGAACAGAAGACCACAGAGAGGTTATTAGATACAAAAGCTGCAGCTAGAGGAGGCAAATTAGAAGCTCCTTCAAAGAACTTTGGTGATGGGTTCCTGCGGTCAATGCCATATAGGTCTCTTTCTTTCTCTTTCTCTTCTTCTTCAGCATCCCAGAGAAATCGAGCATATGATGCTAGAACATGGTTGCATCAATGTATTAACTCCAACTTGGTCTGTCTTGAGAAAGATCAGAGCAACAACTTGGGGCTTTTTGTAATCTAGGAAAGTGGGGCGAAGTTGTAGAAAATGTCATTTAGACTTACGTTTTGTACCCATTAATTTTTTTTAACGCCTATTATGTTGTCATTTTTAATTCACTTGTTTTAACGTCATTCTCGCTGACACTTTTAAATACGTCATTCCAAATGACGATTCAAAAAAATAATTTCAATTTGAAATCGTCATTTCAAATAATATTTTAACCCATGAAAGCGTCATTGATGTTTTAAAAGAAAGACTGTTCGAAAAATAAGTTACTGATTTTGGGAATGATTTTGGGAATACAGATTTGGGAGAGGTTGGGTTTGGAAAAAAGCGCGTGCGCGTGTTTAATGTGGTGCGAGTATTCTTATTCGTTAGACACACGACAGCTTTTTTTATGCGTCCCCTACAGACTTGATGACATGCCCTTTGTCCTCCATATGTCCTGTGGTAGAAGCATCAAACTCAAGCCAGAAAAATTGGCGAGTTGGCTGGGAAACTTGAATGCTTTCCGCTCCTAAAAACAGCTCTGCATTCCCCATATTGTACGCGAACCAAACATGAGCGAGCGTGTAAGGTTTACAGCGCTCCATAATCGGGTAGAGGTTGGAAAATTGTTTGTTTGACATCATGGGACATCAGACCCTTCTTCTTCTTCTTCTTTCCTCAAGTTCCAGAAATGGAAAGTGCACATTTGCCCAAAAAATTTCTTTCCATTTTTATTTTTATGGTTATGAATCTGTCTTCTTGGCTGCTTGCACCACCTTGCTTTGCTACACTGATTTTGATTTTGTGGACAGAGATACGTTTATTCTTTTTCAATGGGAGCTATTGTGATCAATCGTTCAATCTCTGGTTTGTGAATTTGAAATGATCCAACCAAAACCACTCCTAATCAGTAAAACGAAAAATAAAACTCAGGTTCCCTTGAATTGATGAGATGTTTTTTGGTATGAAAATTATTGCCAAAAGTTATCGATCTCATTAAATAAAGTTACACTTCAAGTAGATGAACTGCCTTGACTGTTGGACCTTAAGACGGTGAGTTCAAATTTTGCCATCCTAAAAAAAAAAAAAAAAAAAACAGAGTAGATGAAATTAATGGACAGCTGTTTGAGTTGAGATTGATCCAAAAATAAGAATTAAATTTATCCTTTTTAGGATCGATTTCCAAGTTTTGTACCACATTGGGTCGTTACTTTTGAGTTTCCAAGTAATAGAAATAGTTTTTTGCCCGGGTGAGGTAAGAGTCAGTACATATAATTCTCCTCAAACTCCTCGGTGGCTGAAGTCTCGTGTGGACTATATTTATTGAGTCATGACTTATGCTGTGAATCAAGTTTGTCAATTTATGCACCTCCCAGACCAAACTCATTTGCATGCTGTCAAAAGAATTTTGCACTATCTCAAAGCTACACCTCATTTTGGTTTGCATCTTGTCAAGTCTCAAGATGAACATCTCTATGGCTATTCTGATGCTGATTGGACAGGATGTCCCGATGATCGTAAATCCACAACAGATTTATGTATTTATTTTGGACCTAATCTTCTTATTTGGTCTAAAAAAAACAACCTACTGAAACAGCTTGCTCATACTGTGTCTGACATTCAATGACACCTCTTATCTTTTTAGGGAATTGTGTTACATACTCTAATCTGAAGTAGTCCAAATGCAGTTACTTCAACCTATTGAAAGAGTGCAAATGCAGTCCCTATTCTTTAGCAAAGTACCTAATCTGCTGCTATTTGTTCCTATTCTTTAACCATTACCTAGTCTACTGTTATTCTCTTGATTTCCTCTCTTTTAGTTGCTGCACTTGTATTTCCTGTTGCTGTACTGGCTATAAATACAGCCACATGAAACCCAATAAAGCATTATGAAATAAATCCCAGTCATCTTTTCTCTCTTCGCTTTTCTCTGTCTCATTCTTTCTTCCTCCTCTCCAAATTCAAACATAACAATCTAGTATCAGAGTCCATAACCCATAGGTCCAAGGTTAAGCATGGACACCCGAGGCAAGTCCAACGCTGAGTTTCACAGTGAAGTCAGCAATGCATTAGCACGACATGAGGCTAGTGTGGAGCAGGTTCATGCGGCCTTGCAGGCTGTTTTAACAGAACTACAAGCATTACGTACCACCCAACAAACCAACAACTCACCAACCATCAATACCACCACCCAACCCAAAGTTAATCCCCTTATTGGAGAAGGATCCTCACACTACCCACCTGCTGTCCATTCCAACCCCAGTACTGATCAAACACGCCAATCCCAACTCAAGTTGCATTTTCCCAAGTACAATGGTGATGACCCCATGGGCTGGATCTACAAGGCGAAACAGTACTTGAATTCCAGAATATCGTTGTAGCTCAACGAGTCCAATTAGCCTCCTTTCATTTGGAAGGCATTGCCTTACAATGGCATCGATGGCTGACGAAGTTTCGTGGCCCTCTAACCTANTCCCAAGTACAATGGTGATGACCCCATGGGCTGGATCTACAAGGCGAAACAGTACTTTGAATTCCAGAATATCGTTGTAGCTCAACGAGTCCAATTAGCCTCCTTTCATTTGGAAGGCATTGCCTTACGATGGCATCGATGGCTGACGAAGTTTCGTGGCCCTCTAACCTAGGAGGAACTCACCAAAGCTATCTTGCACAGACTTGGTCCTATTGATTACGAGGATTCAGCGGAGGCGTTAGCCTGTCTAAAGCAGATAAATACTGTGGCAGCGTATCAAGAGGCCTTTGAACGTCTTTCCCACCAACTGGATGGATTACACGAAACCTTCTTAATCGGATGTTTTATTGCTGGATTACGGGATGACATTCATCTAGATGTTAAGATCAAACAACCCCGTACTTTGGCAGACGCAATCAGAGTCGCGTGGCTAGTCGAAGAACGCAATNGATTACACGAAACCTTCTTAATCGGATGTTTTATTGCTGGATTACGGGATGACATTCGTCTAGATGTTAAGATCAAACAACCCCGTACTTTGGCAGACGCAATCAGAGTCGCGTGGCTAGTCGAAAACGCAATGTACTCCAAATGATAACCACTCCTCAAGGTCGCATTCTGGCAGTTGCTTCTATGCAAAGAGGATCTCCCACTCCAGCCGTGGGAATCTTAGGCCCACTCCCTACTCAACGACCAGGTAACATCTCTAACCCTCCAACCCCACCATTTCGCCGAATCACCAATCAGGAAGCACTCAAATGTTGAGAAAAAGGTCTATGTTACTATTGTGACGAGAAATACCCTATGGGTTATCGTTCTGAGCGACCCCAATTGTTTATGATCGAGGACTCACCTAACGTGGGAGAGGAAAATTCAGACGAAAATAGGCAGGGAGCAGAAGTTTTAGAAGCACTACCTGAGATTTCATTTCACGCTATCGCTGGAGCCGAACACCCACAGACCCTTAGAGTGTGGGGAAGACTGAAGAACAAGAACCTAATGGTATTGATTGATGGTGGCAACACCCACAACTTCATTGATCAGGCCACTACCTCACGGTTTGGGTTATACATTACTAGTTACAAGAAACTTCAAGTGGTGGTCGCCAATTGAGAAAAAATCTAGTGTGCAGGCTAGTGTCAAGGGCTCACACTCACCATCCTAGGAGTTCCCATTATAGCGGATTATTATGTCTTGCCTGTGGCAGCCTGTCGAGTGGTCCTGGGTGTACAACGGTTGGAAACTCTCGGGACAATTGAGATGGACTGCAAGCATCTCACCATGACCTTCTAGGTAGGAGAAATCAATCACACCTTCCACGAATTACAACGGACTGCTGAAGCCGCCAACATCAAGGCCTTGGACAGCAATGAATGCTCAGGATGACAGGGAATGGGATTTTTCTTCCAAATCAGTCCTACTAAAACCCCTCACTCATCAAATGCGTACCCGGAGGAAATCAAAAGTCTGTTGAACATGTATTCTTAGGTCTTTGAGGCTCCAACAGACCTACCACCACGACGTCTACATGATCATCGGATTCCACTGCAATCCAACACCGGACTAGTGAGCGTGCGGCCCTATCAGTACCCTTACTATCAGAAGACAGAAATAGAGCGTATGGTGAAGGAACTTCTCCAATCAGGCTTTACCAGGCCAAGCAACAGTCCCTTTTCATCCCATGTTCTCCTGGTAAAGAAATCCGATGGCACATGGCGNATGATCATCGGATTCCACTGCAATCCAACACCGGACTAGTGAGCGTGCGGCCCTATCTGTACCCTTACTATCAGAAGACAGAAATAGAGCGTATGGTGAAGGAACTTCTCCAATCAGGCTTGACCAGACCAAGCAACAGTCCCTTTTCATCCCATGTTCTCC